CTGTATACTGTAACATGTGGTGACTTATATCATCTATAGTAGAGATTTTACATATAGTTTTATCTGTATACCGTAACATGTGGTGACTTATATCATCTATAGTAGAGATTTTACATATAGTTTTAGTACCGTAACATGTGGTGACTTATATCATCTATAGTAGAGATTTTACATATAGTTTTAGTACCGTAACATGTGGTGACTTATATCATCTATAGTAGAGATTTTACATATAGTTTTATCTGTATACCGTAACATGTGGTGACTTATATCATCTATAGTAGAGATTTTACATATAGTTTTAGTACCGTGACATGTGTTGATTTATATCATCTATAGTAGAGATTTTACATATAGTTTTAGTACCGTACCATGTGGTGACTTATATCATCTATAGTAGAGATTTTACATATAGTTTTATCTGTATACCGTAACATGTGGTGACTTATATCATCTATAGTAGAGATTTTACATATAGTTTTAGTACCGTAACATGTGGTGACTTATATCATCTATAGTAGTGATTTTACATATAGTTTTAGTACCGTGACATGTGGTGACTTATATCATCTATAGTAGAGATTTTACGTATAGTTTTAATACCGCACCATGTGGTGACTTATATCATCTATAGTAGAGATTTTACATATAGTTTTATCTGTATACTGTAACATGTGGTGACTTATATCATCTATAGTAGATATTTTACATATAGTTTTATTTGTATACCGTGACATGTGGTGACTTATATCATCTATAGTAGAGATTTTACATATAGTTTTATCTGTATACCGTAACATGTGGTGACTTATATCATCTATAGTAGAGATTTTACATATAGTTTTATCTGTATACCGTAACATGTGGTGACTTATATCATCTATAGTAGAGATTTTACATATAGTTTTAGTACCGTACCATGTGGTGACTTATATCATCATGTGGTGACTTATATCATCTATAGTAGAGATTTTACATATAGTTTTATCTGTATACCGTAACATGTGGTGACTTATATCATCTATAGTAGAGATTTTACATAAAATTTTAGTACCGTAACATGTGGTGACTTATATCATCTATAGTAGATATTTTACATATAGTTTTATTTGTATACCGTGACATGTGGTGACTTATATCATCTATAGTAGAGATTTTACATATAGTTTTAGTACCGTGACATGTGGTGACTTATATCATCTATAGTAGAGATTTTACATATAGTTTTATCTGTATACCGTAACATGTGGTGACTTATATCATCTATAGTAGAGATTTTACATATAGTTTTATCTGTATACCATGTGGTGACTTATATAATCTATATTAGAGATTTTACATATAGTTTTATTACCTTACCATGTGTTGAATTATATCATCTATAGTAGAGATTTTACATATAGTTTTATCTGTATACCGTAACATGTGGTGACTTATATCATCTATAGTAGAGATTTTACATATAGTTTTAGTACCGTGACATGTGGTGACTTATATCATCTATAGTAGAGATTTTACATATAGTTTTATCTGTATACCGTAACATGTGGTGACTTATATCATCTATAGTAGAGATTTTACATATAGTTTTATCTGTATACCGTAACATGTGGTGACTTATATCATCTATAGTAGTGATTTTACATATAGTTGTAGCTGTATACCGTGACATGAGGTGACCTATATCATATATAGTAGAGATTTTACATATAGTTTTAGTACCGTAACATGTGGTGACTTATATCATCTATAGTAGAGATTTTATAGTTTATATTTTATACCGTAACATGTGGTGATATCATCTATAGTAGAGATTTTACATATAGTTTTATGTCTGTATACCGTAGAGATTTTACACATGTGGTGTGGTTATATATCTATAGTAGAGATTTTACATATAGTACCGTAACATGTGGTGACTTATATCATCTATAGTAGAGATTTTACATATAGTTTTAGTACCGTGACATGTGGTGACTTATATCATCTATAGTAGAGATTTTACATATAGTTTTAGCTGTATACCGTAACATGTGGTGACTTATATCATCTATAGTAGACATTTTACATCAAGTTTTAGTACCGTAACATGTGGTGACTTATATCATCTATAGTAGAGATTTTACATATAGTTTTAGTACCGTAACATGTGGTGACTTATATCATCTATAGTAGAGATTTTACATACAGTTTTAGTACCGTACCATGTGGTGACTTATATCATCTATAGTAGAGATTTTACATATAGTTTTAGCTGTATACCGTAACATGTGGTGACTTATATCATCTATAGTAGAGATTTTACATATAGTTGTAGATGTATACCGTGACATGAGGTTACCTATATCATATATAGTAGAGATTTTACATAAAGTTTTAGTACCGTAACATGTGGTGACTTATATCATCTATAGTAGAGATTTTACATATAGTTTTATCTGTATACCGTAACATGTGTTGACTTATATCATCTACAGTAGAGATTTTACATATAGTTTTATGTGGTGACTTATATATATAGTAGAGATTTTCCGTAACATGTGTTGACTTATATCATCTACAGTAGAGATTTTACATATAGTTTTATCTGTATACCGTAACATGTGGTGATTTATATCATCTATAGTAGAGATTTTACATATAGTTTTTGTACCGTGACATGTGGTGACTTATATCATCTATAGTAGAGATTTTACATATAGTTTTAGCTGTATACTGTAACATGTGGTGACTTATATCATCTATAGTAGAGATTTTACATATAGTTTTAATATGACATGTGGTGACTTATATCATCTATAGAGATTTTACATATAGTTTTATCTGTATACCGTAACATGTGGTGACTTATATCATCTATAGTAGAGATTTTACATATAGTTTTATCTGTATACCGTAACATGTGGTGACTTATATCATCTATAGTAGAGATTTTACATATAGTTTTAGTACCGTGACATGTGGTGACTTATATCATCTATAGTAGAGATTTTACATATAGTTTTAATACCGTGACATGTGTTGATTTATATCATCTATAGTAGAGATTTTACATATAGTTTTAGTACCGTACCATGTGGTGACTTATATCATCTATAGTAGAGATTTTACATATAGTTTTATCTGTATACCGTAACATGTGGTGACTTATATCATCTATAGTAGAGATTTTACATATAGTTTTAGTACCGTGACATGTGGTGACTTATATCATCTATAGTAGAGATTTTACATATAGTTTTAACTGTATACCGTAACATGTGGTGACTTATATCATCTATAGTAGAGATTTTACATATAGTTTTATCTGTATACCGTAACATGTGGTGACTTATATCATCTATAGTAGAGATTTTACATATAGTTTTATATGTATACCGTAACATGTGGTGACTTATATCATCTATAGTAGAGATTTTACATATAGTTTTATCATCTGATTTTATACCGTAACATGTGGTGACTTATATCATCTATAGTAGAGATTTTACATGTGGTGACTTATATCATAGATTTTTTAGTTTTATACCGTAACATGTGGTGACTTATATCATCTATAGTAGAGATTTTACATATAGTTTTATCTGTATACCGTAACATGTGGTGACTTATATCATCTATAGTAGAGATTTTACATATAGTTTTAGTACCGTGACATGTGGTGACTTATATCATCTATAGTAGAGATTTTACATATAGTTTTATCTGTATACCGTAACATGTGGTGACTTATATCATCTATAGTAGAGATTTTACATATAGTTTTAGTACCGTGACATGTGGTGACTTATATCATCTATAGTATAGATTTTACATATATTTTTATCTGTATACCGTAACATGTGGTGACATATTATCTATAGTAGAGATTTTACATATAGTTTTAGCACCGCACCATGTGGTGACTTATATCATCTATAGTAGAGATTTTACATATAGTTTTAGTTGTATACCGTAACATGTGGTGACTTATATCATCTATAGTAGAGATTTTACATATAGTTTTAGTACCGTAACATGTGGTGACTTATATCATCTATAGTAGAGATTTTACATATAGTTTTATCTGTATACCGTAACATGTGGTGACTTATATCATCTATAGTAGAGATTTTACATATAGTTTTAGTACCGTACCATGTGGTGACTTATATCATCTATAGTAGAGATTTTACATATAGTTTTAGCTGTATACCGTAACATGTGGACAGGAAACGGAAGAAAATGGCTGCAGTCGATTTCCTGTTCATCAGTGAAGAAATCACTTGTTTGAGATAGATATATCTAAATCGAGGGCTGACATTCTGTAACAAAATCTCATTAGAGACGAAGTCGATGTTACAGAATATCACATCGAGATAAACCAGACTCGGGGGGTAGTCTTTTCTCCCTACATTATATTGTCAACATTACATACACCTTCATCAACAAGCTCATATTCCAAGTTCTCCGATTCGAGTACATCTCGTCTCTTTGTGATTAGGCATCATAAACACAAATTGTATGTGATGTCATTGTAATTGTCACCTAAATTACCACACAGATTGCACAAGACAGAAAAATCTAGCGCTAAGCCGAGTGCGAGATTTTCCTGCCTCATATTCGAGAAAAAATATCCGGGTAAGCAGTCCTTGATTTGTTATGTCAGTGTTAAGGTTACATGCTACTTTACACAGAAATGGTCTTCTGACACCAAATATCAACCCTTCAATCGCTTTAACGTTGTCTGTTCATTGTAAATTTTTAGCCTACGATTGGAACTCTTTTGTACAGAAGATGCAAATCTTATCAAAGTAGCATGTATCCTTAAGATAACAACGAAGAAATATGAGAAAGAATGAAAATAATTTTAAACAATTTTATTGTGAAAAACAACAGTTAAATGTACATCTGGTCCATTTCTTGACCTGCGTAATGTTTGGTGCGCTCATGTATGTCCGTCATATCCGCTTATGTTGAGCTCGTCCACAAATTATCCATATCTATCCCTGTTCACATACCGTGATCAGATCTGTAAAATAAAAACATGAATGAAATTTACTATATAAGCCTGATCCAGTTATTATTTGACGATCAATTTTGATTTGTAGTGGCGACTGATCTTCGAGACATTTTCTATAGTTTGATAATGTCGGTAGATGAATGTGACAGTGTAGCCATTGAATTCTTATACAAGATCTCAGATAAGAGTTCTATTCTATCAACCGTACTGATATGTTTGAAAATTATAAAAGGGAACTTGTTTATAATATCGTGTGTCATTTAAAATGAAAATAGGTTTTATTTATTCCATTCTGACGTGTTTCAAATTCTTACCGATGATTTGAAGTATTCCATCCCTGAGAAGATGTCCGCTCATCAATAATATTTACCAGGATGGTATCGGACTCTACGCTCAACTGAAACGAAAAATAATGGAAAATATAAGTACATAACAAAATTATGTTCGGAACCTGGATTTCCATTCGGATTAGGAAATACTTCAAAATCGACATCTTAATGTGTACCACTTTTACTGGGAGTTATCTCCCTTCATACTTTATCTTAATGCATGTTCCTACGTGATGTACAAATCTAAAATGTCATTGGCCAACTATGTTTGATAGTTATTTTTAAATACAGATACTTTCTACAGCAATACACGAAGCTTCCTAAACTGATTTTTCTTTAAACGAGTACGATTGACATTGCATCTAAATAAATCATACTTACTGATGGTTGGTGGAAGGAAGCCAGGCTGGTAACCTCCAAAAAGGAATGGTGGTGGTGGTGGGGGTGGCCTGACCGGCAGGGACAGTTGGTTGATGAGTGGGGGAAGTAGCGCCAGGGTAGCTAGACTTCCGGGGGTGAAGGCTTGGAAATTAAAGGCTTGGCCGGATACACATCCGAGGAGTGCCAGGGCAGCAAGAACGGAGACAAATCCTTTGTTCATTTTTCGTGTCTGTAGAAAGAGAGAAGTTATATCAATGATGAGATATTTTGCAGATGGTGGAATGTTACACAGAGAACGTGAAATTTCAAGAATCTTTCAGTTTAAACAGAAATAAATGAGAACAGAGATACGAATATATAAATAACGCAATTTCTCTTAATCGTAACAAGATCTCCCAAATATTGTTTACCACGATCAATAAAACTAATACCTATTATAACTATTTTACCCTAACACCAATTCCAGCGAGCACTTACCTTGACCGGTGTGGAAGGAACACTGATGCCAACTTTCTCTTTCGCTTCCCTTATATAGAGAGCTGGACACAGGTGTAATTGTCCGGAGTTGCATTTGATGACAGGTGCTGTCATTTGACCAGACATCGGTGTCAGCATAATTCTGGCCATTCATCCGTCTCTTTTATTAGTATTATGCAAACGCTCACCGCACAAACGGCCCTTATTCATGTCGTCTCGCCACTAACTCGTTACTAAGATTAACTGTAAGACAAATATGCTCAAAACTGTATTAAAACTGTGCCAGTAAACCTACACATGGTGCGAGTAACACAGATAGGACAGAACATAAAACCAGGATAAAAACTGTTAGTGAAAGCTGAACCTGCGTGTTCGGTTTTACAAAATAACATCATTGCTGTATTCTTAAAGTTTCGTTTATCAGCACATGCTTTATCCTATTTTGATGGCGGTGATATTTCTCCTGAAGGACGTTGCACCAAATACATAGTTATACTACTAGTATTGAAACTCATTGTAGGGTAAACTTAAGACAAAACTGTGAACAAAGAAGTGTAAACTAAAGATAAAACTGGGGATAACTAAGTGTAAACTAAAGACAAAACTGGGGAGAAAGAAGTGTAAACTAAAGATAAAACTGGGGACAAAGAAGTGTAAACTAAAGACAAAACTCTAAAGACAAAACTGGGGATAGCGAAGTGTAAACTAAAGATAAAACTGGGGATAAAAAAGGGTAAACCACAAAACTGGGGATAAAGAATGGTAAACTAAAGACAAAACTGGGGATAAAAAAGTGTAAACCACAGACAAACTGGGGATAAAGAAGTGTAAACTAAAGATAAAACTGGGGATAAAGAAAGGTAAACCAAAGACAAAACTGGGGATAATGAAGTGTAAACTAACGATAAAACTGCGGACAAGAAAGTGAAAACTAAGGACAAAACTGGGGAGTAAACTAAAGACAAAACTGGGGATAAAAAAGGGTAAACTAAAGACAAAACTGGGGATAACGAAGTGTAAACTAAAGACAAAACTGGGGATAAAGAAGGGTAAACTAAAGACAAAAATAACGAAGTGTAAACTAAAGATAAAACTGGGGATAAAGAAGTGTAAACTAAAGACAAAACTGGGGATAAAGAAGGGTAAACTAAAGACAAAACTGGGGATAACGAAGTGTAAACTAAAGATAAAACTGGGGATAAAGAAGGGTAAACTAAAGACAAAACTGGGGATAAAGAAGAGTAAACTAAATACAAAACTGGGGACGAAGAAGTGTAAACTAAAGACAAAACTGGGGATAACGAAGTGTCAACTAACGATAAAACTGGGGACAAGGAAGTGTAAACTAAAGACAAAACTGGGGATAAAGAAGTGTAAACTGAAGATAAAACTTGGGATAAAAAAAAGACAAAACTGGGGATAAAGAATGGTAAACTAAAGACAAAACTGGGTATAACGAAGTGTAAACTAAAGATAAAACTGGGGATAACGAAGTGTAAACTAAAGATAAAACTGGGGACAAAGAAGTGTAAACTAAAGACAAAACTGGGGATAATGAAGTGTAAACTAAAGATAAAACTGGGGACAAAGAAGTGTAAACTAAAGACAAAACTGGGGATAAAGAAGTGTAAACTAAAGACAAAACTGGGGATAAAGAAGTGTAAACTAAAGATAAAACTGGGGATAACGAAGTGTAAACTAAAGACAAAACTGGGGACAAAGAAGTGTAAACTAAAGATAAAACTGGGGACAAAGCTAAAGACAAAACTGGGGAAGTGTAAACTAAAGACAAAACTGGGGATAAAGATTGGTAAACCACTGACAAAACTGGGGATAAAGAAGTGTAAACTAAAGACAAAACTGGGGATAAAGAAGTGTAAACTAAAGACAAAACTGGGGATAAAGAAGTGTAAACTAAAGACAAAACTGGGGATAACGAAGTGTAAACTAAAGACAAAACTGGGGATAAAGAAGGGTAAACCACAGACAAAACTGGGGATAAAGAAGTATAAACTAAAGATAAATCTGGGGATAAAGAAGGGTAAACTGAAAACAAAACTGGGGATAAAGAAGTGTAAACTAAAGACAAAAATGGTGATAAAGAAGGGTAAACCACAGACAAAACTAGGGATAAAGAAGGATAACCTAAAGACAAAACTGGGGATAAAGAAGTGTAAACTAAAGACAAAATGGGGATAAAGAAGGGTAAACTAAAGACAAAACTGGGGATAAAGAAGTGTAAACTAAAGACAAAACTGGCGACAAAGAAGTGTAAACTAAAGACAAAACTGGGGATAAAGAAGTGTAAACTAAAGACAAAACTGGGGATAAAGAAGGGTAAACTAAAGACAAAACTGGGGATAAAAAAGGGTAAAGCACAGACAAAACTGGGGATAAAGAAGTGTAAACTAAAGATAAAACTTGGGATAAAGAAGTGTAAACTAAAGACAAAACTTGGGATAAATAAGTGTAAACTAAAGACAAAACTGGGGATAAAGAATGGTAAACTAAAGACAAAACTGGGGATAACGAAGTGTAAACTAAAGATAAAACTGGGGACTAAGAAGTGTAAACTAAAGACAAAACTGGGGATAATGAAGTGTAAACTAACGATAAAACTGGGGACAAGGAAGTGTAAACTAAAGACAAAACTGGGGATAAAGAAGGGTAAACCACAGACAAAACTGGGGATAAAGAAGTGTAAAAAGACAAAACTGGGGATAAAGAAGGGTAAACCACAGACAAAACTGGGGATAATGTAAACTAAAGACAAAACTGGGGATAAAGAAGGGTAAACCACAGACAAAACTGGGGATAAAGAAGTGTAAACTGAAAACAAAACTGGGGATAAAGAAGTGTAAACTAAAGACAAAACTGAGTATAACGAAGGGTAAACTAAAGACAAAACTGGGGATAAAGAAGTGTAAACTAAAGACAAAACTGGCGATAAAGAAGTGTAAACTAAAGACAAAACTGGGGATAACGAAGTGTAAACTAAAGACAAAACTGGGGATAAAGAAGGGTAAACTAAAGACAAAACTGGGGATAAAAAAGGGTAAACCACAGAACTGGGGAAAAAGAATGGTAAACTAAAGACAAAACTGGGGACAAAGAAGTGTAAACTAAAGACAAAACTGGGGATAATGAAGTGTAAACTAACGATAAAACTGGGGACAAGGAAGTGTAAACTAAAGACAAAACTGGGGATAAAGAAGTGTAAACTAAAGACAAAACTGGGGATAAAGAAGTGTAAACTAAAGACAAAACTGGGGATAAAGAAGGGTAAACTAAAGACAAAACTGGGGATAAAAAAGGGTAAACCACAGACAAAACTGGGGATAATGAAGTGTAAACTAACGATAAAACTGGGGACAAGGAAGTGTAAACTAAAGACAAAACTGGGGATAAAAAGGGGTAAACCACAGCCAAACCAGGGATAAAGAAGTGTAAACTGAAAACAAAACAACTGGGGATAAAGAAGTGTAAACTAAAGACAAAACTGGGGATAAAGAAAGGTAAACCACAGACAAAACTGGGGATAAAGAAGTGTAAACTAAAGATAAAACTGGGGATAAAGAAGGGTAAACTAAAGACAAAACTGGGGATAAAGAAGTGTAAACTAAAGACAAAACTGGGTATAACGAAGGGTAAACTAAAGATTAAACTGGGGATAAAGAAGGATAAACTAAAGACAAAACTGGGGATAAGAAGTGTAAACTAAAGACAAAACTGGGGATAATGAAGTGTAAACTAACGATAAAACTGGGGACAAGGAAGTGTAAACTAAAGACAAAACTAGGGATAAAGAAGGGTAAACTAAAGACAAAACTGGGGATAAAGAAGTGTAAACTAAAGACAAAACTGGGGATAAAGAAGTGTAAACTAAAGACAAAACTGGGGATAAAGAAGTGTAAACTAAAGATAAAACTGGGGATAAAGAAGTGTAAACTAAAGACAAAACTGGGGATAAAGAAGTGTAAACTAAAGACAAAACTGGGGATAAAGAAGGGTAAACTAAAGACAAAACTGGGGATAAAGAAGTGTAAACTAAAGACAAAACTGGGGATAAAGAAGTGTAAACTAAAGACAAAACTGGGGATAAAGAAGGGTAAACCACAGACAAAACTGGGGATAAAGAAGTGTAAACTGAAAACAAAACTCGGGATAAAGAAGTGTAAACTAAAGACAAAAATGGAGATAAAGAAGGGTAAACTAAAGACAAAACTGGGGATAACGAAGTGTAAACTTAAGATAAAACTTGGGATAAAAAAGGGTAAACTAAAGACAAAACAGGGGATAAAAAAGGGTAAACCACAGACAAACTGGGGATAAAAAAGGGTAAACCACAGACAAAACTGGGGATAGCGAAGTGTAAACTAAAGACAAAACTGGGGATAACGAAGTGTAAACTAAAGACAAAACTGGGGATAAAGAAGTGTAAACTAAAGACAAAACTGGGGATAAAGAAGTGTAAACTAAAGACAAAATGGGGATAAAGAAGGGTAAACTAAAGACAAAACTGGGGATAAAGAAGTGTAAACTAAAGACAAAACTGGGGATAAAGAAGTGTAAACTAAAGACAAAACTGGGGATAAAGAAGTGTAAACTAAAGACAAAACTGGGGACAAAGAAGTGTAAACTTAAGATAAAACTGGGGATAAAAAAGGGTAAACCACAAAACTGGGGATAAAGAATGGTAAACTAAAGACAAAACTGGGTATAACGAAGTGTAAACTAAAGACAAAACTGGGGATAAAAAGTAAAAAGGTAAGTGTAAACTAAAGACAAAACTGGGGATAAAGATTGGTAAACCACTGACAAAACTGGGGATAAAGAAGTGTAAACTAAAGATAAAACTTGGGATAAAGAAGTGTAAACTAAAGACAAAACTGGGGATAAAAAAGTGTAAACTAAAGACAAAACTGGGGATAAAGAAGTGTAAACTAAAGATAAAACTTGGGATAAAGAAGTGTAAACTAAAGACAAAACTGGGGATAAAAAAGGGTAAACCACAGACAAACTGGGGATAAAAAAAGGTAAACCACAGACAAAACTGGGGATAGCGAAGTGTAAACTAAAGACAAAACTGGGGATAAAGAAGTGTAAACTAAAGACAAAACTGGGGATAAAGAAGTGTAAACTAAAGACAA